CAAAGCTGAAATTTAGATGATAAAATGTGAACATGTGCTATCTACTGCCTTAACACAAAAACATGTTGCCATGTTCAACCTGCCTGTGACTACTGTTAGATCTTATTTTTTTTTTCAATAGACATGACCTTGGTCTATTTTGTTTCACTAAGAATATGACTAATCCTTCCCAAACTTAGGAGAGTTGAACTAATGCAGTGTTGACTATCAACAGCTGAATTCCTAAAACAAAACCAAATACGACTAGTTTCATTTAAAAATGGAGATGGGACTCTATGGAAGAGAACAAATATCGATGGTTGTGCTGTAATAGAATTGGCTGGTGGCCCAGCTGTAGGCGTCATACAGGAGTGTCAGGTGTATTGTAGTGGAGTGAACAATGAGCTCAGTGTCAAAACTTCTGTGTGACCTCGATGAAGGCTGTTATTTGTTATCAAGGGTACATTTTTAACAGATGAGACCACTGGGGTCCTGGGTAGAGTGGAGAAGAGTCAGACAAATTTTGCGAACGGAATCTTAAGGAGTCCCACTGGTCGAGCTGTCTTTTGCACCCTGGGAGGTAGGCCATGCGCAAGTGCAACCTAGTTCCCGAAATGGACACTCTAAAAATATCTGTTAGAGGGGAAATACAGAAAAACTCTTCTTCCTCTGAAACCTTTCAGCCTTCTCTAGCTATCACACACAGTGATTTTATTTAGGAGGACTTAGTATGTTATTTTTAACCTCTTACCTTAGTTTGCAGAGGTTTGTTCTCATATTTATATTATCAATATTTTCTCAGCATCTTCTACTGGTTGGTAGACTATCTTGGAATTTGTTTTTCTCTCCAAATGTATTCACTAATTCAACACATATTTATTGAATTTCCTATGTGGCAGGTTCAGTGCTAAGCTCTGAGAACCCAAAAGTGAACACAGTTTGGGGGAAAAAACCCACCTGCCTTTAGGGAGTTTAAGTAATTACCTCAAGTAATGACATAGGTAAGTGTGAAATTATCACTATAGTAACTGCTATGAAGAAGAGGTCTTGGTGCGATCGATGCACAGAATGGTGGCTTTTGCCTAATCATGGAGGTGCACCAGGCTCTCCTGAGGGAATAACTGTTTACCTGGTCTCTATCGGATGAGGCTACTTAACTTGGCAAAAGGTGGGACGAGAGGCATCCCAAGTGGAGGAAATGACATGCACGTAGGTCCTGTGTTTGGCAAGGAGAAGGGTCAATGGAAAGTCACTGTGGCTGGAGTTGAGAAAGGAAGAAGGAGGCTGGATACATAGTGATGAACAGATGTGGTGCCTAGCATTGTGGGCACATAAGAGTTTATCCTCAAAGCAATGAGAAGCCATCTAGGTTTATTAGGCAGGTTTGAGTATGGGTGAGGAAATGTGATCTGGTTTGTGTTGGAAAAGACCATCCTGCCTCCTGTGTGGAGACTGGCTTGGAGGGCTTTCTCAGTGGCTGCAGGTAGACCAGCTCGAAGGTGCTAAACTAGTCTAGATGAGATGTGTTCATAGCTGGGCTGGTGGTGGTGGAGGAAAGCAGATGATATGAGCTATCATTGGAAGATAACTTTAGCAGAACTTGAAGACTGAGATTTAAGGAAGCTGTTGATCAGCATCAGGGCAGAAGGTGAATGTCAATATTGTTTAGAATATGAATATCAGCTAGTAGAGAGGAAGATAATATTTGTAACACAATAAGGTTTTTTGACAAGTCTCTCTGCTTAGTAGAGAAGTGGATGTAGGCTGACCAAGAGTAGCTCCCCTTATTCTGACTAAAGTTGTCCATAAGAAAGTCCCCAAACCTTTCTGACATTTCAGTTTACTGAAGTAATAATGCAGGTGAAAACTCTTTGTAATAGACATGTGTATATGTATACATACATATGTATTGGATTGCATTGTATAAATATGTAGTTATAACATCTGTTATAGTATACATATGCTATTTATTACATTTTATATATTAATATTTGTGTTACTGCATTTATTGTTATGTATTATTTTCTTTCTTTCCTTTAAGGAGGTCATAGTCTGGCAAGTATTGAGACAATATACATACCAATACTGAGAAAAAAATCTGGAATCTGTTTGCTAAATTTATTTCTTAGCTATCTAAAAATGGGGAATTAGTGGGTTGATGCTTGTTTTTTAAAGTCCAAATGGATCATTATCATGTTAATAGATGGCTTTTAGAGTCTATTGAATATGAATTCGTTCTTACCTGTAATGCATTTAATATTTATAATTTTGCTAAGCTCCATCTTAAATGCTCATCTTTGTCTAACCTTGGCAACATTTTTAGAATGAGGATAAGATTCATTAAGAAGAAATATACAGAGAAAAATCTCAAGTTTGTATTTAGCTTTTGACACTCATCATTAAATTATGCAAAAGGATGATAAACTTTGTCAGCTGGGATCTATGATCAGTGTCCTTCCGACTTCACTGCTGAGACTCCTTTGTCTTTCCTCCTAAGGTACCAAAACCACAGAGTACTTCCTTCAGTGGTGTAGACAGAATGCCCCATCTACAAAGGGCAGCGAGGCTAACTCTAAGGTTATTGTCTAGCGTAAGTAAAAAAATAATCTGTCTAGTTTTAGGATGTTGTGAGAAGTAGATACAGAGAGAGAGTAAGAGAAACGTGGGTTCTGTCTTCTCATACCCAGACATCCTTTGGGGCGGCGGGAGAGGCTTTAGATAAGAAAGGGCTGAGGTGGACTTCTCAAGGAGACTGCACAGCAGACTTCCGAGAATTACCTGGGCACCGTCAGCTCAGAGATGCCCCAGTGGATCAGAGCGATCACGGTCATGCAGAGAGGGGGGTTTCTTGGTTCTTTTGAGCCTTGAGGTGAGTTGACACCCAGCGGCACGCCTTATGGCCTAAAGATGGCAGCAGCCCCACTGGGGAGACTGGGTTTAAACCAATGGGCCAGTTTCTAGATAAGTGATGTGGCAAAAACTCAGAACCCTGCAGTCGCATAAGATTTAAATGAACGCTGAATCCTTGAGGACCAAAGGGCTGACACGCTCTAGCATCATAATAATAGAAGTAACAGCTGCTATTCACCAAGTGCTTTACATGTGGTTAGTGACTTAGTCCTTATTCACATAATACCTGTGAAGTAGTTACTCATAGAGTCTCCAGTTTACAGATGAGAAAAGTGAGCACAGAAAGGGTGAAGAATTTTCTCAGCATTACCTTGCTAATAAATGGAGAGCCAGGACTTGATGTGGGCAGTCTGGTTCGTAGACTGTGCTGTGTCCACTCTCCATGAACAAGTCGTCCAGGGGCTACAGCACGGAGTCTGGCGTGGTTTAAAATGGCCAAGTGGATCAGGGCCCCACGTCTGGCTCTCTAACTGTTTTTTGTAAATATTTTATTGGAGCACAGTTATGCTCATTCATTTCTGTACTGTCAGTGGCTGCTTTGATGTAACACCATCAGAGCTGAGTAGTTATGACCGAGACCACAGAACCTTAAGACCTGAATTATTTGCTGTCTGGCCCTTAGCAGAAGAAAGTTTGCCAACCCCTGTAGTAGATAAGAGGTATCTAAAACTCCAAAAGGTATCCAAAGGCATCCAAGGAATGCCACAGATCCAAGGAAATCCCCCAAGTATATGCGGATGAAAAAAATGCCCAAGTCTTTCATGAGTATCTAGGTACCTTTTTAGCTGAAAAAGCAGAAAGGAGCATTTTACCAAAGAACAACCCTCTACTACCCGAAAACACTATTTTAATTATTGGCTTGGCCTAAGCTGTCAATTATCAACCAGATTAGACATTTAGTCAGGGGTCCTGGAAGAATGCCAGGTAGTTACATACAAATAAAGAAGTGCAAACACATTGATTCAGGGAATTAATAGATATTAGAAGCTACTATTTAGGTTTTATGTTAACGAAAAGTCTTTTTTTTTCCAAGATGCCTACTAAGTACTTATGGGTAAAATGACATACTGTTTTCTACTTACCTTAAAAAGCTACAGAAAAATACTTTCAAATGCATGGAGTATGGTGAAAAATATAGCCAGATTAATGGTAATTGTTGAGGCTAAATGATTAATGTATTGTAGTTTCTTACACCATTATTTTTACTTTCATGTGTTTGAAAATGTCTATAATCAAAAGTTTAGAAATTACTATGTAAATTATGAAGGCAGTTCCCATATTTTCTGATGAACTGATTGCAGGAAACCTAGTATCTTCATTATATACTTCTCATGACATTCGTCCCTTATTTTCTTTGTCCTATCAGAAAAGAATTGATGAATTGGCTGCACGCATACATGAGACAAAGAGGGCAGGACACCTGTTGGGCAATTACAGGTTATTTGACACCTTTGTTTTGTCTTACTTGCCATCACTGCCAGCATGAACTGAAGTATGAGGGTGGTGGTGCCTAGCACAGGAGAGCTCCCAACCACAGAGCCACAAATGATTTCACAGTTTCCTCCTGGAGTCTCTTATTTTCCCAGAGTGGATAGATGATGAAAATGCTTGGGCTTCACGTCAGACCCTCTGGAAGGGAGGCAGATACACCCTGAGTTTAAAAGCCCCTTTTGAAGAAATTTCCCCATTATTGAAAAGGTTAGAGGTAAAATATATATAAAATACCTCTTGCAGCAATTAATTTGAATACTGCATTTCATCAGTGTTTGTGCTGTGTTTTAACAATGATATCTAACACCTGTTATAAACAAGGTTCTAGTATGTCAATCAAACTGACAATTCTGACAAAGATCAGAGAACAATGTTTTTTATATGCTTCTCCACCAATCCATCCCTGCGACTATGATTTCCATTTTGATTTCCAGTTTGATCCCAAAATCAGATACATCAGTGCCTTCTTAATTTTCACACATTTAATATTTTTTTACATTTTTTATTGATTTATAATCATTTTACAACATTGTGTCAAATTCCAGTGTAGAGCACAATTTTTCAGTTATACATGAACATACATATATTCATTGTCACATTTTTTTTTCTCTGTGAGCTACCGTAAGATCTTGTGTATATTTCCCTGTGCTAATATTTCTAATATTTTAAAATATATAATCTGCATTTTTCTATTTGAAGGAAATGAGGTTCTCTACATAGCCAGTCATTTATGCTTTGAATACTTATTGATGCCAGTCTCCAGGCTGTACTGCAGGCATGAGAGAAGGACCAAAAACAAAGCAGAGCCCCGATCTTACCAGTGTTAATTCTATAGAGTCTTAAAATCAAACCGCTGCTGTTGCACTCAGGTCATCTACAGTTTAACATATTTTTGAATTAATTCTAACCCATTCTGAAAGAGACAAATTAAAATGCCCTCCTGTAATTACGTATTTTGTCCCAATCTTCTTGCAATTTTATTTTTGAATTCTACTACATTTATTTTCTATTTTTACTAGTAGTAGAAGTAGTAGTAATTGCCTTTATTTCTAACAGTGAACTGTTTTATCCTGATGGGTAGTTTAAAGCTTCAGTCTCACCTTGTCTGACACTGATATTGTTGGTATTTATTATTATTATTATTATTATTATTATTATTATTATTTTTATTAAATTTTGGGGTTTGCTTTTGCCTATCTTGTTGCCCAGTCTTCTTTTATCTGCCAGCTATCGATGATGACTTTGCTTCAAGGCTTTTTTTGGCTGTTTTGCTTTTGGTGTGTGTAAATAGCATATGGCTTGAGTCTCTTATATAAACCCATATAATTCACTATCTTTTGATATGAAAATTGACTCCATTTACACTGAGCGTGACAATATATGTCGTTTTATTCTTTCCATCTTTATGTTTATTATTTATCTTTCTTTCTTTTTCTCCTTTTTCCTTTTTGAAGAAATTTGATCAAGTTATTATTTGCTTCCTTTTCCCGCTTGATCATTTGGGAATTCTATTTTGTAACTCCATTAAAGATTTACCTTCTTCAGAATAAAAAGCCCATGTGATATTTTAAGTGATAATTTTATTATAACCTACATTTATTTTATGAATTTTTATATAAAGAAGAAATAAAAAGTTATTCTAAGAAAACATATAGCATACTCATAGTCACATGTGGCTATTTAGATTAAAATTAGAAACTCCGTCTTTCCGTCCTGCTAGTCACATTTCAGTTTATCTAGAGTCGTATTTGGCTAGTGGCTACCACAGTGGATAGTGCACATTTAGAGAACATTTCCATCATTGGAGAAAATTCTACTGGACTGAAATGGTTTATTTACTACGTACATACTTCACATACTACTTACCTACATTTTGGGTTATATACATAGTAAGACTGAAGAGGTCATTGTTAGGCTAAATATTAAAGATTGATAAGTAAGTTCAATTTCCTAATACAAACATAAAAAGAGGAATACAATTTCACATCACCAGCCAGTTAAAATAACATGAGTATCTTAAGTGAAAGGTTATTTAACAATAAATCGTTTTAGTTAAGTCAGGATGTCCCAGGAGAGCTTTTTGCAAACAAACCGGCCAAGATTCAATTTCATGATGGCAAGATTTCGAATAAGTTTAAATCTGACAAGAAAGGACCTTCATCCCAATGTGCCTAATGTATAGAGACTTAATGTCCTTAAGATATCTGACTTGTAAATAGTCTGAAGCTTTTACCATTATTTCAATAATGGGTTGTATTGGCTGGCTTAACACAATGTATTCTTTCTCAAAGCACTTCTGTCAACAGTCTTTCTATTTTTTTAAGGTTGTTCATTAACTTTCAGTGAAACTTGTGGCCTTCAGGTTCAACCAGAATTTTATCTGAGGTTGAATTAAGTAATTTGGAGACTTGAAATTTTATTTCACTTACTCTATTTTCTTCACCAGGACATGATTAAAGTACTACTGTTGTCCCTCCCACTCAAAAAACTAACCCCTGGAATAATTTTAATATTCCTTTCCACACACACATACACATGCACTGTCCCCCTTATCCTTTCCAATGCATCTGAGGACTCTATTATAATTTATTTGGAGACTCACATGATACCTTGAATTGTCATCAGATGGGGCATATGACATAATTTTTTTATGTCAGTGCAATCAATGTTCTTTGTAATAGCAAAATTAGAAAAACACTTCAACATTCTTCAATAGGAGAGGGATACAAATGTACTCTGTCCCCCTTTATAGATACTTAGGTTGTTATAAATTTTGCTGGTACAAGCAATGCAGTGGTGATTAACATTGTCGTGTCTCGTGTCGTCAAGCATGTCTATGATGCATTCCCAGAAGTAGAATTGTAATATCAAGAGTGTGTCTTTGTGTATGTAGTTGGATAATGCCAAATTGTTTTCCAAGGTTTTCTACCACCCATTAACCCTCCTACCAGAAACGTATGGAAATGCCCATCTTCCTGCAGCTGTACCAATAGACTGCGTTGTCAAAATTTTGGAATTAGGGATTTTTTTTTTCTGGTCAGTCTGATAGGTGAAAAATTGTACCACTGTGTAGTTTCAACTTATTTCCCTTATTCTGAGTATGACCGATCTTTTTTGCAATTCCCCTTTCATAATTGGCTGTTTCTTCACCCATGTCTTCTCTCTCTGCTCATTGTCTTCGTTGCTTTTATTCTTGTTTTCTAGGAGCACTTTACATATAAGAAAGCAGAGTTCTTTTTTGGAGTAACTTACAAATACAAATTATTTTTCCAGTTTGTAATATGTCTTTGATATTAGTGAGTTCTTTTCCCACAGAACATTAAAAATATATTTTTGTAGTTGATTTTTTTTTTTTTTGCTTCTGGATTATCTGGATTTTGAGGCATGGCACCCATTGGGATAGGTAAGGATTTGCTATTCCTAGTTCACATGGTTGTTGGTAGAATTCAGTCCCTTTTAGTCCTAAGGCTGAAGTCCCTGCTTTCTTACTGGTTGTCAGTCTGAGCTCCTCTGAGCCCCTAGGAAGGCCTTGTTCTTCCCTCCCCTATCCCTTTGATTAACTGAAAACCAGCTGATCAGGGACCATCACTACATCTGCAAAAGCCTTCACGTTTGCCACATAATCTAATCTAATCCTGGCGTGTCATTCCCCATATTCACAGGTCCCACACAGGGCCCCCAAGGGGAAGGGGTTGCACAGAGAATCTGGGGGGCCATTTTAGCATTCCACCTACCGTAGCTCTCCTCGGGATTTCTCTCTTCATCTCCTGGTTCACATGTCTATTAACTCACCAGTTTTAAAAAATAAGATTATGATACACTTTACTGTCTGGTAGGACCAACTATCTCTCATTGCTCTTTTTTTCAAGAGCTTTACTGGTTTGTATTTATTTGATATAATTTCCATATTGACTTTAGAATAAGCTTACCTTATTAAAAAAGAGAAACCTGTAGAGAATTTTATGAGGACAATGATAATATGTAAGTTAACTTGTGGAAGAGTGGCATGTAAGTGGTGATGAGGTTTCCTGTTCATGACATATTATGACTTTTCATTTGTTCAGGACTTCAGTTTCAATTAATGGTGTTTTAATGTTTTCCCATTATAGTTCTTATATGTATCTTATTGGGCTTAAGTTATTTTATCTTTTTGTTCTAATTATAAATGGAATCTTTTACTAATATATCTTGTAGTAGTTAATATTATATGCAAGCTACTGATTTTAGTATATGAACTTATTTATACAGTAATTTGGGGTTGATTTTTAGAACTTGCACATGTATAATTCTAACTTCTGTAAATAGTGATTGTTTTATTTTGTACATCCTCTTTCTTTCATTTTTCTAACTGACAGTGTGACTATTTGATTTCTAATTAAATGAAATATGAGTTTCAGGAATATTAATGACAGGGGACATCATTTTGTTATAGTCACTATAGTGGGCATGCCTGTAATATTTCACATTGAGCATAATATCACTTTAGGCTGACATATAGTTCTCTAGGGAAAGCTAATATCCATCCATTAGTTTTTTTTTTCGGTTTTATTGACTATAATTGCCATATAAACATTGTATTAGGTTAAGATGTACAACATAATGATTGATACATGTATATATTGCAAGATAATTACCACAGTAAGTTTAGTTAACATTGATTATTCTTTTATTGTTTTTTTAAATAAATAATTGTTGAATTCTGTCAGTGTACTTTTTAGCACCAATTGAGATGAATAGAATAGAATTTTCTCCTTGGACTTACTAATATGACCGTTCATATAAGGTGATCTAAAATTGAACCGTTCTAATATTCCTGGGGTTAACGTCACTCGATCATGACGGATTGTTCCCTTAACATGTTGCTGCGTTCAACTTCTTGATATTTTGTGTGTGGCTTTTACAGTACTATTTGTAATTGATGTTGATGTGTAATATTATTTTCTGTGCTCTCTTGATTGGGCTCTGGAATGACTATTATACACTCTTCTTTAAAATTCATTTGAAAAATACTCTTTGATTTTTCATTGTAGTAGAATTTGAATACTGTTAGAATTATGTGCTCTAAAGGTCTGATTTAGAAGTCTCCCATGAAAATACCTGAGCCTCTTGCGTTTTTGATTAAGGAGGGGATGTTCTTTGCCAGTTTCATCTATTTCGTCCATTTAGATTTTGAACCTTGCTTTAATGATTTTAGTAAAGTATGTTTTTCTTAGACTGTTATTCATGTTACACAGCTTGACCTGTGTGGAAGTTCTGATTTTTCAATATTATCCTTTAAAAAATGTTGTGATTTCAATTTGCCCCTTTTTTTCTGACACAAAGTTAGGAATTAAAAAAAGAAAAAAATTCCTAGGTGAGAGAATTCTTTCTCTTCCCATTTAGTCATCAATTTCTTGCATTGTATTTTTTTAATTGAAGAATTCTTTGTTCACTTATTTATATATTTGTGTGCTGTTAGGCTATTATGGCTGTCCCATGGGTACACAGTAAAATTGTATTATTATAGGACAAATGTTATGATACAAATACAAGACACACATGTATATGCCCATAAGTATATATATATACACATTATATATTCATAAGAACTATCTTATTAATTATGTTATCTATTCTATATTTTATATTCTATATATTCTATATTTATATTATATTCTATATTCTATATTTAATATAATTATTAAATAATTATTCTATATTTTAATTACTTTTGTTCTCTTGATCGTTGTCATCTGTGAGAGATGAATTAAAATCTGTTATCACTGAATAGTGACAATATTCACAATAATAATATTAACTTGGGTCTTTCCTGTTCAAACTTGTGTACTTTTATAATTAAGTGAGAGAGAGGAAACCATTAACTCATCCTTTTTTTTTTCTTGTAGTAAACTCTAGGTTGTTGTATGTGAAGAAGTCTAAGACTAGTTTGATAATTTCCCTTTTAAAAATTAAGAAAAATATATTTTCAGCATTGAGGCAAAAAAATTTAAAAAAAACTATTAAATCATTAAAAATTCCAGTACTTTTTATCAGGATGTTTCACAGTGTGACCGTATGAACCAGTTCGCTCTGATACTTAAAACTTCTTCAATTTTGGGTCATTTCTTTATTTTACATATTTAAAAATATATCTGTAGTATTTACTGTATTCAAAATGTCTGTAATATTTGTTCTGTCTCCCTGTTTAGGATTTTTCTTCAGGGGCTTGAAGTACATATATTGAATCTCCTTAGCTGGTATTTTGCATTTCTCATTTTCTCTCTAAGCCATTAAAATTTTTTCCCCACTATTTCTGCTTCTCTTCATTTTTATTTTCCTACTTGCAATAACTTTTTTCAAATTTACTACCAAATGTAACCTCATTTAATCTTTTCGCTGTCATAATTTTTAAAAATCTTCTATTTCTTCCCTAACCTTTGCCAGCTCATGTTTATATTTCATCTTTTTCTGTGTTTACCCCATCTCTTTCACACGTTTTCACATTTATGCTTTGCAGTTGTGCCTTCGTAAGTGTGATTACTTCATTAATTCATTTTAAACTCCTAGCTAAGTATTTGATCGTATTTTCTTCTGTTTCAGAGCAATAGTTCTCTCTTGTGAGTAGATACATTCTGTTGCTATATTTTGAGATTTTTTTTTCCTTATTATGCCTAAAACTCAAGGTGGCTTAAGAGGGCCACTTCCCCACATTCTCATCTCCTATTCCAAACAAGGACTATAGTTTTGAACTTTGAGAGAGACTCTTACTTTCAAGAAGAGAATTTTTGTTGGGGTCTTGTAGATTTTTCTGCTTTGGGGCTCTTTGATGTGTCTCTTTTGTGGCTTCTACTGGACCTCAGCCACTTACGCAAGCCCTGACTTATGAAGACTGTCATCGAATGTCCCTGAAAATGGAGCTTATGATTACAAGAAGAACGAGAGGAAAAATTCTGACATATACGGCCATATTCATACCAAGGTTTCTTCCTCTTCACTTTTAGTTCATGTATTAATCTGTGACTCTCAGAAGTTATAATTTATTAGGCCCTCTCCTGATTATTTCATTTGTGCTTATTTTCTCTGGCTGCAGAATTTCTTATGTGTGTTAAAAGTTTCCTTTATCTGCTCCCTGGGACTCAGGTAGCGCTCTGTAGTACATGAATTTGGAGCCATACCATGAATGGTAGGAAGTGCTGTGGTCTCTTCTACCGTGGCCCAAGGGTGTAGCAGGAACATGGCCTCAACTCTACTAAAAATCCAGGGTAGCCTCTTTCCTTCTCTTCCAGATATTCCAGCCTTTGGTATAGACAGGACTCCCTCCTGGTTCATCTGTCCCTTGGCTGACTGGGAGCCAGAGAAGTCAGGTCCACTCCTGTGGACTGATGTGACCCCCTTTTCCTAGGACCCCTCGTTTTCTGCAGGTCTTGTACTTGCCAGGATCCACCACTACTGTTCCTCCCCTGGATCCTCCCAAGAGCTCATCAGGCTCAGAGCAGAAGAAACTGCTGTGCTAGCCACACATTTCGTAACCCTTGGCAGTGTCTGAGCTTCACCAGCACCTTCCATATGTTGTCTGGGTGGTCTCTGGGGGTAAAGAAGAGCGCAGATGCGTTGAAGCCCCCATCTCCCATCCTATCCAGTATTGGCCTTGGATGGGTTTCGTATGCATTTCTGTGAGATTACAGAACTAGGGAAGAATAAATTGGTACAAGGGTTTAACATACCTCTTTATATTTATAAATTACCAAGGATAAAACTTTAAAAGAAAACACCGCCCACATTGCCACTTGCTGTATTTCAAGGTCTCTTTGTTGAACTGAAGGTGACGGTGCTTCATTTCACAAATTGCTTTGCATTAAAAAAAAAAAATGAGAAGTCCTTGAAGAGGTCGCCCCTGATGGGCTAGTGGTTTCTGATGCCC